TCTGGTCATATAAACCATGAAATCGACAGTGGTAAGAATTCCATGTGTTCAGACAGTCTATATCTGAATGAAAACCAATCAGAGAATCTGACATGTTTGTTTCAATGAATTCGTTATTATCATTTACCGTCAAAATAAAAAAAGGGACATTCGTTCAAACAACAGTGACAAGGATATTCGTTTAGAAGTACAGCTCGCAATCTACGTTGATTGATCAATCAGCCAACTAATTGCCTTTTGATTGATTGATTGATTGATCGATCGATTGATTGATTGGTTGATTGATTGTTTCATGATGCTTAGAAACATTTAGGTAGTTGCTAAATCATTACTATCACAAGGTTTTGCTTTTGAGTTCTTTCGGTTTTGTAAATTAGCGTTAATTTAAGTGTGTGAATGACTATACAATGAAAGAGTTTTCTACTCAGATGATTGTACATGCCAATGCAAATGTACCGCTTATCCCTAAATGACAGTTGCCCCCGTCACCTCAGAAGGGATGTTGTATAATTCGTTTCCGGCTGCTGACTTCCGTATCGTTGTTTGTAATGATGAATGAAATACTGTTTTGTTTTGTTTGAACCACTTAAAATAAATTGAAGTTGTTAATCGTATGGAACCACGAACAGTGAGTCCACTGTTATAGTTAAATATGGCATTGCGTTTAAATTCAGTTATCAACGAACTATATACATACGAAATACAATTGCTTTGTGACCTGTGTGACTGAAGTATTGATTATGGTGTGCCGCCATGAAGCGGTGTATATTCTATCGGCACAACGTGCCCATATCCTCTATCTTTAAAAGTATTTCAAAGGCAGATAAATCCAACCAGCCAATCAACGGGCGCATTGCGCATCGACGTAATTTAAAATGCTACAGTTACATTGCCCGATAGTAACTTCCTGGTTCAGTTTGAATTGTGATTTTTTTTTTCAATTTTCATAACAGTCATTTTGCCTGGAGCTTGGAACGCATAAAATACGTTGTTTGTTTACGCAAAGCTCGGATACACACTACGTGACGACGGCGGTATTTAAGGGTCGGCACGGCTAGAAGGTTAAACATTGTATAACTACAACAAACCCCTGTCTCAAAATTGTAAGCCGCGACCATCCATAGTGATCATTGTGTGGGACGATAATAATTGTGAATAATATTAACGTTACATTAAAAGTAATATAATTATAGAAAAAAATTGGGTTATCACGTAAATGTATAAAACAGCAAGAACTCATTGTGCCACTGGCGAATTCGTGAACTTAAAATCTAGTGAATATGCTCATATTATCAAAAAAGAGAAATTAAATGCCAGTGAAAATATATGTTTGTTGGATCCATTGTGTCAAGTATTTAACGGGATGAATTGCAGGAATTGTCTGAGGTTTCATTGCTGTTCACAGTGATTCAAAACTGATGCGAATATTTGTTGTGGATACACACTGTTCAGGCATTGAAAACTTTAAATACGTATTTCCCATAATTAGTACAAATTAAGACCATCGAATATTTCACATAATAATCACAATGCCACAATAAACTTGTATAGTTGAGCTCAGAGTGCGGAGTATTACTACTTTGATGTTCTACTCCGTATTTTACTCGCCTTCCCCTATGCAGAGCTTTCAAACAGTTCTTGGTGACAGCTCAGACTATTACTAGTCTGAGGTGACAGGGCGGGCTTGTAAAGTCGGCTGCAACTATTTAATGCGCCATTCGTATATATACATATATATATGTGACTGTTAGGATAAATGTAACTTGAGGTAGTTCACTTTGTGAATGTGTTATATTACAATAAGCCTAATATGTGGGTTCAGATTGGCTAAACGCGGTTTCCGTAATACATTGTATATGAAAATATACTGAGCACGTTCTGAAAATTAAAACAGATTGTTTACTTTCATCTAATCTTTCCAAATATATTTTCATTTGTTTACTCATTTTATTTAAAACAATACAGGGTAGGGTCAACAAGTCGAAACATTGATGACATTATTGAATATGTGACACTTTTGAAAAAAATGAGATAACATTTTCAGCATTGAACGTGAACTGAATATTTCGTTGAAGTCTGGGTGAGTTCATTGCCACGTGCCCCAACGAGTGTTACAGTGACATACTCGAGGCGATAATCAATCACTGTAGTTGCCAACACGACGGCGAGGTCAATTTATGATTTTATAAAAATTAACAAATTTTTAAGTAAATTTTGATTTTGTATTATGACCCGCAGTCGTGTGAGTATTTGATCGTTCTTCCCTGATGTAAACTCGGTTTTTGTAATATATAGATTTCGTAACCATCCCACCCCACCACACCCCTAATTTCTCCCAGGAATTTCTCTCTATAATTCAAATAAATGAATCTCTCAACATAGTCAAATGCGACCGTATCTCTTATGAATTTAACAATCCGTCGTCCTGGGATTACCACGCTTATATTTACCCGGATGTTCACTTCGTATGTACGTATCTGTTTACATCGTCGTCAACAACCTATTCCACTCACCCAATGAAACTCTCCTGTCAACATCCGGGAGCACCGATTCTTAATGTCCGCGTCAACCATGCCCGTAATATGCAGTACGTCCGTGTCCGAGTGACATGACTCGTGGCAACGGAAAGGCTTCCCGAGACAGTCGCGTACGCGAAAGTAATCCTGGGAGTAGAGCCATGTGATTGTATTGGACCCTTGTTATGCAAGCAAAATTCGTGAGGAAAATGTATAACATTTATTTTAACATTTATTTTTATGTTGAGAAACTTACCGATACAACCTTTCGTCGTTAGGCTTCGTTTCCCGAGCTTCCCGGGGTTGCGATAGGGGGGTGGCCCGGAGCGGCCTGGGAGCGCGGTACTATTGGCCACGGATACTGGCCCGAGACGTCAGAGTCATAAACGAGGCGACCCCGGGTACCTCGAGGTAGCGACGCCAATGTAATCCAGGTAGCCAATAAAGCCCCTCCCCCACTTGCTAACATACACCTTCCAAATATATCGTTCTATGTGTTCAATAATGTATAAAATCACAGCGTTTGCCAGTAACTTGTCATAGAAACCAAATAACACATATTCCTCCATTAATGTTTAAACCGTCATTTCCTTAAACGGTAATTGTAAAGTGTGGAAACAAAATGACGTACTTTGGTCGTACTGTTGTGTTCAACGTGGTGTTATCTGGCTTCAGTCACGACTTGTCAATTGTCGTATTGAGAGGCGTCACTTGTGCGATCATTGTCACGATGTTATAATGTAACAAAACCCAGTAACCATGCAGTGTTCTGAAAAGAAGCACTATGAAAGATATATGCAAAACCGTCCCAATGAAAACAAATTATTTTAGCTTTGAAAACAATGCCATATTTTATCATCAATAGCTTATCTAAGTTTTTGACAACATTGTATTTTATGCTAATAGTTTCCAAATATAGTTTTATCAAAAAATGACCACATTTAAACCATGCACTATATTGGGCTATACCATAGAATAAAACAAATACATTATGAGACATATGTTTTTGTTAGAAGCATGTTTTATTGTCGAAGTTATTTTTCTATTTCTAAATAGTTTCGCGTGTATTGATGCGTTCGTAATACCCTAGAGTAGGTACAGCCCGGGGGGCGGTTGATACATAGCTGGGTAGGGAGTGCCCCTGAGTGCTCAAAAGTGTGACCATTTTTATACCTGGATACTGGCAAAATCTATACCCATATTTATACTAAAGTACCATTTCTGTCATCACTGTTTATTTCAAATAAAACAGTTACCGTATGTGCTCTATTAGAAGAGCATCTCCAATAGAAGAACGCGTTTGCCAATAGTTGCCTGTATATTGATTTATTTATTGTTGATTGCCTTGTTTAATTTCCGGGTTGTATATATTGATCTGAGACCGGGATCTGAGGTGGAGATGTTCGCCCATAAACGGATCCATAAGTATACCAAATCGGAAAAATATTACCGATATTTATACCTATCTTGACCAGAAATAAGACCGATATTTATACCTAAAATCTAAAAAACGAGACCCATTTCAGGGGCACGTCCCCATTAGGCAAGTTCTACGTATTGCCCCTCTCGGGTGTACAGCACGCACAGTTTTTGGCACGTACCTACAAGTATTTGCCGTGCCCCATCGTGTGACCCAGGCATCACATTGCAAGATAGTTTACCACAGTGACTGTTGCAATAAAAAAGGAAAACAACTCGGGGCGACAAACACCACTTTATTTTTGTGATTCCAACCACAACAAGTCTGATAGAAATGTCCGTACATCGATGATACCCAACCACTGCCGCATAGTCGTGTAGTTCCCGATACAGTCGTGTATGATCAAAGATAAGAGCAACTCACCCCCAAAATGTGGGTCGATTATTACAATTGTGTGAACTTCGCTCGATATAATATTGAATATTATAAGCGGGCTTATACAATAAATCGAGATCAGTGAATAATTCATAGTTTATGTATAATGGTATGGGCAGTGTCACTTCGTGAAATGTCTTTAATTGACAGAACGTGTGGGAATATGTTTTAGTGAATCAATTAGTTTTAGTTTAGATTCAAGCTAGCGCCGAAGACTGCGACTTAACGATTATAGTAACTACTGTAAAATACTTTTTTTTCTTGGAATTAATTTTCGCTGAACAAAAGATTTAGTGAAAATAAAATCCAGATAATATACCCTTTTCCTATAGTTTACATTCAACTCGTTAGAAATCAGTAAAAATAAATTCTATACAAAACAACCAAAAATTCTTTTTAGTGAAAATTAATTCCAGCTAAAATAAAGTATTTTAGAGTACTATAAATACTATGATTTTTTAGGTAAATACGTCGTTTTAGACATTTTTGTAGTATTAAACACATAAACGCCACGTGACAACTTGGCATTCGAAGGGGTTTCCCCGAAAAAGTCCGCTATCGCCTCAGTGTATGTATAGTGTAAGGTCGGTGGCCCATAGTAGCAAACTGTATTTGACGCTGTGGAGGTCATTTCCTGGTGCTGAGGTCCGATATATTTACTTAAGCTGAGACACGCTTTTAGGTAGCACATGGACATGTCGTCGTCCACAACACGATGTCTACGGCAATCAAGCTGTTTACAATATCTGTCTCCATCAATTTCTCGGTGCTGACGTTCCACTTCTTACCCGGCGTTGTCGTTCTCATTTTGAAACGCTTCAGGGAGCGTTGGGTTGCCACTGACCAACTGCTGAATCTGTGCGACGAAAAACCTTGGTTTGCGGGCAAATTGTAAGTACCTTAGCCATATGATGTGGTTTATTTTTTACTCATGTTATACGAAGAGAATTGATTTATTCCAAAAAAATATAAATAATATAACCCATATTGTGCACATTAGTTTGAATTTATTTTATAATGCCGGTACGGAGACGATGTTTAACTCATTTTCTCTGTCACGCGTTATCGGCTATATCTGTCCCACGGTATATTTCAATGACACGACCATCTATTGTGCAATGCCCTTTATAGCCATGATTCTGAGAATTTGCGGATTTTCAAAGAAAAAGAAAACGCTCAGCTGCTTTCCTTCTTGTGAAATAATAAGCACGAACGACGACCGAGTGATAATTTTATCATGATAGCTGCGCCTACGTCTACTAATTAAAGAAAGTGTCTACGTAGTTACTTCCTTGTAATATGCCGGTGCTATCAGTTTACTTGACATGAGTAATTTATTTATTTCTCAGCATTTTGATAAGCAGTGTGGACGAAATCATTCATTGATTGTTTCCTTGTACTCATATTTACATTTGGATAATTTTTAAACATTATATTCAATAAGAAGTTCTCTACCACAATTCATTGCACATATATGCAGTAGCATTTCAAGTAGAACAAAACATTAATTCGGTCCGAACTCTCTTATTTCTCGTACTCGGACTCTTATCATCAGACTGGCTTACGCGACCCGATTTATCTTAACAGATTATATCACGATAAACACGTAGTTGCCATTTTTGCGACCTACTTGACAAACGCATTAAATCGAGACATCTAACGATTGACATTTACATGGTCTCAATCCAAGCCTGACAAGTGTAGTGTTATCTCATGTGTCCACACGTTTTGCAAACATCTCATCTAAAGAACAGAAATATATATATATGACCAGAGGTACATTACTTGGGGTTTGTAACTACGGTGACATGATACCAAGATCCCGTCACAATCTCGCTCTCGCATAAGCGTTCCAACTCAGAAAAAATGCGAATGCGCATGCCCGAGGTAACTAGGATACTGGGATGTCCAGGTGGATCAAAATAGCTGCCCACGATATGACGGATTACGAGAACTATATTTTCTGTACATTTTCGATGTATTACATTTTTCACTATGATGGTGACAAGAAAAGTTTATTTTTTTCATTACAAACCTTGAACATTGATATGCGTCATGTCAGAAGGTCGTAGCCTCAGTCTCGCTATCTACGAGAAGAGACTTGAATGGGATCTTGACATGATGTCACCATACAGTACTATGCGAGTTGCAAACCCCAAGTAATGTACCTCTGATATGACAGATACTGAAGTCGAGACTAATTTATTATTCTTGATTATATTCTAGTTTGGTTGACCAACTATCCAGTATCATTCTAACAATAACTGCTATTGTGGTTTTCGCCGTTTCCGGAGTTGTTCAAGACCCTTTTGGAATGCCTCTCGCGGTACAAATAGCTGTAGCTATGGACGTGGGGCACTACTCATACAAGCTTGCCCAGGACTTTTTACTTCGAAAACATATAACATCGTTTCGCTTCGACGCGCTCCATCATCTAGTTGCTATTATGACACTATCGGTATTTTTAGCTTTCGAAGAAAACGGTCTAAATTGCTTGGTTGGACTTTTGTTTGAAGGAAACTTGCCGTTTTTTGGAATTTCGCAACTTTTAAAAACCCTTGAGATTGAAAGCTGCAGCAGAGTACACGGAGTAAACAAACACTGTGGTTTCATATCTACGATTATCTTTCGGGGAATCGTACCCGTTGTATTTATAATTGTTTCAATGCAATTTGGCTCTCCGTTCAGCATGAATTATGCCGTGATCTCGTTTTATTTTTTAAGTTGTGTGTTTTTCCTAATTCTGAACATATGGGTGATAAAAATTTCCTTCACCGGTGTGGTGAAATACAATAAAGAGCGTCGGAAACATCTTATGGAAAGAGCCCTCATTGGTCCACGTGGTGCCAACGATGACGAATCAGCGGTTGGAGTCGACGGTACTAGTGCGGTCGAGAAATTCCGAATACAGACGACACACAATAACCTTAGGTACATGAGGCCGTGTGCAAACACAAATTTGAACACACCGTTCACTGATTCTGGCAGGGTGTCAAATAGAACCATAGGGGCGGTAGCGAATATACAAGAAAAACTTTTCCCAGCAGTGCTCAATAATGTAAATGTCTCGGGTAGCATGGCAGACAGAACCAGCTCATTATCCACCGAGTCTGATCGCAGTAGGATATCTTTTTCATTTTTACCAGAAAATGTAGTTGATTCCAGAGACAGTACGCCTGTTTCTTTGGTACCACGGACTGAACTTCAACACCAATTGGATGCCATTAGGGCGCCCCCGGACGGCGAAGATTGTAATGACAGGCAACTACTTCCCCGGCATGGTACGATGGCATCGAAAGTTTCTGTGGGGTTGCCGTGGATAAAGAGAAGTCTTTCTGAAAGCTCGATTTCCGAGAAATCGAGTTTGAAAAGTGAGGAACATTTCTTTTTAGGCGCGACCAGTGCTACGATGCCAGTAACTTTATCCCCAGCGCTTCCCTTGGCAGTGCTCTTACCGCCACCACACGTGCGCATAGACATGCACCAAAAACAGCCGGCAGATTCCCAGACAAGCGTAACAGCATCATCGTCGTCAGAATCGATATCACAGTCGAAATCTTAACTCATTCTTTAAGATGATTTACCAGTTCGAGCCAACGGGGTAGTCAAATATTCAGCTATGGTGTTGTGGCCAGGCCAAGAACATATCACCGAACTTAAATCTATAGAAACACTGTGGAAACATACTGTGGTTATTGAATGTACGTGTTACTGTATCCATGAACACGTTGCTAAGCATGCAAACACACAAACACCGTGCAGCTTAGTGCAACATAAAGGCGGACATGTCAGGACTGCTTCAGGATGTGCGTGATTTAAGTGTATTCCAACTTACAGGTAACCTTTGACCTGGTAAGTCGTATCCCGGGCACTATATAGAAATTACCTATTGGGGACGTGCCATTGAAATGGGTTATGTATTTCAAGATTGTAGGTATAAATATGGTTCACATTTCCTGTCCAAATAGGTATAAATTCAGGGTATGAATATCTGCAATATTTGAGCTGTACAGGGCACCTTTTTAAAATAAACATTGATCCATCCATACGCCTGAATTCATTTTAAATATCGTTAAATTGTTCTGATTACGCCCAGTGACGTCTTTCATGTAGCCCAGTAAAATAGAGGGCGCAACTAGTAACAAAGTGCTATCTTGTCTTTATTTGTTATAACTTGGGTTTAAAAAATTGTACTTTGGAATAAATATGTGTATGGATTGGTATAAAAATGCACACACTTTTGAAGGCTCAGTGGCAACCCTCTACCCAGTTTTAGGTCTGGTGCCCCGGGAGTCTAGCTCCTATGTAGAACCATAATGACCACGTGTTCTATGTGACGTTTTCAGCAGAAGAGCGAACGTTGAAAAAGTGGAATATATTATCCCAATGTAGGCAATCTGTCTGAATATTAGAATATTAGCATACTACGATATGTGAGTGACCCTGAATGACCTGTAGGAGTATGTCGGATATAATAATTTAACGAATTAAATAATATTCAGAAAATCTTTATGTTATGGTCAAATAAATTATGAAGCCAATGTTAAAATATGTATGATATAAGTATTAGCATTTGAATTCTACAAATTTAGTTGCCATATCATTATGGTACAGTTAAATCATAGACAATTAATAAATAATGTATTTATTGTTTGAGGTTGAACCTCGCTAATCCTGCAGTTAAGACTCTTTTTTGATTGTCGTAAAACAAATACGGAATCGTTCTACTATACTCTACACAAAGACTCTAGAAAACACATTCTCTCGTGAATTCTGCTCTAATTGTCGATATATGCTCAGACAACTAATAAATGTATTAGTTGTCTGAGATATAAGCAACAACTGTGATATAAACAATGTGATAGTAGTCGTGCGAGGCGAGAATTGTGTTTACGAACCGAACTGAAAATGGGTTGTTTTGTTTTGTTTCGTGGAATACACAATATAATAAAAATGAGAGCGTGAGTCAAACAATTCTAACTAAAGGTCATATCAATAAATATCCAGTGATTGTTTTACAGTAGATGGCAGATGGCCAATAATTGTGTAAATGTTAGTACAATGTATATATAGTGTCATGTTGTCACAAGAGGGCGTTCTGCCATAAATTATACACCAATAATCAAAAGAGCGTAACGAGTGTGGTTGCTGACTAATTTGTGAATTGGTCATTTTCAGTATAATGGTCCCTAATCTAAAAATTCCTGTACATATCTATGATTCATTCTCAAACCACTAAAAGTTACTATGTATGATTCCTGATGTTGCGAAGATATATTTAAACAACTTTACGAATAACAGGGACAATTTTGTGCGAACCTTTCTTTGTAGAGCATGTACTCTTAAATGCTACTGAAAAAACGACATTGCTTAAATGTCTAGCTATTAGAGCCACATTGTCTGTTATATATCTATCGGTCCGGGAAGTTTTTATTTATTTACCATATTTGACACACGTTGTATTCGTCGCATGGGGTCTATATCGAACACGGCGCGGTGTGTAGAGTGCAGACTCGGGAAGCGCAGAGAGGGATCTACTATCAAGAGATGTAGTACAGAAAGCATGCACACATATTGCACGGATGTTGTCCTGAGAAAGGAATTTTACGCACAAAGTATGTCGTTTTCAGTAACGTCGGTTTGTCTATGAGCGGGCTAACTAAAACAAGTTATATATGGATTCTCATAATATTTCTAGGAGAGGTTGCCTTTGATACAAGCACGAACTCATTACATTTGTGTACAGATATGGGTACAGTTACCATGGAGACATCAATTTCGGCAATGATTTCTCATGTATAACTCAAAAACGTATCGATGGATCCACATTCAATTTTCAGAAGGGTACACGCCGAGACGGGGTAAGCACACACAACACAGCCAGCATGGTAGTTGGAGAGAGTCTGTTGGAGACAAGGTTTGCAATACGAGAGATAGCTGTAACATCATGATCAGAACTATCGTATGTTCACCGGCCCGGTCGTACGTATCTTTGACGGCTGCTTGTCTCGATTTCACACACCCATTGTTAATAATTAATGGGTATCAATGATGCGTAAATACAACAACGTTTCGGTTCATTTCATTCTGCATTTATTACTCATAAATTAGCAATACATAATCACTTGTCTGAGATATCAATACAAGAAGATAAGATATTGCTGAGGTCCAAATAAAGCTGGTGATATAAACACACTAGTTGAAATATTGAACGTGAGTACTATCACGTGACAAAAACTCCAAAAATATATAGTAAAAAAATATACTATAAATATTATAATTTTACGTTTGTCTAAAATAAACGAAATTCATTTATTATGTATTTTTACAATTAGAAATTACGTGGTGGCGCTATTCTTCAAATTGTGCAGTATAGCAATCATTATACTAGTAATCAATCAAAAAATGACTGACAAATTAAGACAATTCTATTAGTCTCAAAGAAACCTGAAATATATACTTATTGCATTGTATGTGAGGCGTCATGGTATATGCTTGAAATACACAAACTTATATTAGTTCATTTTTTGAGTCGATCGTGACGATAATTCTTAGTATTCAGTTCAAATTACTTCTTTGGGCTATTTTTAAATTTAGAAGTAGAAATTACGCGTTTCTCTTGCCATCTTTATATACCCGGTATACCTTTTTTTTTATAAAAACAGATAAACCGAGATATCTGGCACATTGTGCTAAAAATCAGAACGACCCGCTTTTCAGTCTTCGTATGTCCTTAAATTATTTTCTTAAATTATTTGTTTAACCACACTACTCGCCAATATATTTTCATGGAGAGTAGGGATGTACATGTACACACCTGGTAAAGACATGTAACAGAAAAGGCAAACGAAAAAAACCTTGTGGTAAATTAAGTGCTTATGACTAGGCACAGTTCGTGTGTGCGCTGAAGATCTACGTATGTTTATCGTTCATCGTCGTAGAGGGCGATAACTGCTCACGTTTATTATCATTGCCACTCGTGATGACTTGGTGTTGCCCGGTATCCGTTTCCCTACCCCCCAAATGTGAATTTGTCCTTAGCGTGTTGGCGATACTGACGATGGCTTGTTTCGCGACATAACAAGTTGTGATCTGAAAAGACAAAACAAACAACTTTTAGAGTCATCGATAGCATCATAACATTGCCGAAATATTCGGCCGCTAAAGACCATTGGAAACTCTGGGGGAGTGCGACAGAAAAAGTATGCAAAGTATTTTTTCCTTCACTTAGATTTGTTCTATTTTTTCAGTGATGAATTTCCTGAATATTTTGCATTTCCTTTGTGTGTAATATTATTCCCCCTAGAGATAGGTGTCGAGATTTCTTGTCTTTTATTGATCCCAGTTTTTTTTCCACGATTTTTTCCTGTGCATTTTTATCGCCCTCCAGAGTTTCTGAAGGTCCACCCCTAAATCTGCATATTTGTGTTCAAATCAATTAAAAGCACAAAATAAAATTTTGAAAGAATTTATAAGAAGCATACAATTGAGTCATAAAGTAATTAACTGAATTTGCCTGGGATAAAAGAGGAAGTGGAATTAAAATAGATATGATACGTTGGTGGCATACTTGACAGATATTGTCATAGCGCCACCATGTTAGCATAATTTCACTCACTTCAACTGATGTATCTGTCTTTTGCTGACGTCATCTTGCTTGTCGTAATGTGCTTTATAGAGAAGATGCGATATTTTGAACTCAACGTGGACTTTCAACCGCAATGGACCCTCATCGTCTGGAAAATAATTCTGAGCGGGGTCTGATAACTAAATCAAAACAAAAAAGGAAACACAACATAACATTGGCACAGTAGATACAAATCTAACGATAATAAAGAGATAGAAAATTTGAGTCGTTTAAGTTAGAATACTACTCTTGAGTTTTTTTTTAAAATGTGCGCATATTGTAATGCATTTGTAGCAACGCCATATTTTTATTCCATTTTTTCATCCTCGTGACATAAAATATCAATTATGTAAAAATGAAGAAAATTACAATATTTTTACTTCTGTGTAGCATTCTATCTTAAAACGTGTCTATAGGTGGCGCTATATTGTCAAAGTACATGAGATCGTCATACCTCCTTTATTGGTAACTCAGTCGCCATTTCGTATTCGTTTTCGTCTGCTTGCTTCACAAAGTATGCGGAATACGGTCCATCTAGAGTACGTTTACACTGACCTGCAGCACCGACGACGACGATGTCCCAACGCACATATCTGGCGTAATTTGTCGGTAGTCTGTACTGGTCGACGTAAGCAAGGTTTAGTAGCAGGTTTTTGTGGGACACGTTTGTTTCGAGACACCAAGCTTGCCTGTCTCTGTCGGAGAAAAAGACTTGATTTTTCCGCGACTGCTCTTCGAATACGTACATTTTAATCTCGTGTATAACGCTGATATATACGAGTTCAACCACGATTTTCAGTTCCCCGTTGTTCGTGTACCGTTCCAAGTCGTCGTACAACATAAAACCCTGCCCATTGCCGCTGAAATCGAAAATGTGCCCCAATACATCGCTTCTATAGCATTTAGTCTCTACGTCGTCCCCAAGCGTCACCCTGTAGCCAAGTCTACACAGCTGGTTGAACTGAGTGAGCCTGTTTAGATTTATCATTACTCTCCCCTCGTGCTCCGCCCAATCACCATTGGGATACACGGAGACGTTCCAATCGAACCCACCGTACGGAAAATACGTACTTTGGAAACGAGGGAAAGTCTCATGCATTCTGGGGGCGACGTTCACAACAGTACTGAAACTTGTCTTTGCATTCCGCATCTGAAACTCGACCAGGAACTGTTTATTCTCATCAAGGTACCCATCATGTAACAACTCGTCTTTAGTGATAAATGAACGTCGACCATGTTCGCTGGTTTCCTTCGTGAAAAGAGAAACAGCCTCGGAATAGGATTCGTTTCTTGTTACATCGTCTCTGTTCAACACACCAAACGAGAAGTCCAACGAACAGGTCAGTCCCTCCGTGGCCTCTCTCAGCTCCAAGAAAAAGTTAAGATGGTTTTCCGACTTTACAATTGAAGTGCGCCACCTGTTGTGGGCGTACATGAACTCTCTCGACTGCACTTTCTCGAAGTTGTGGTCAAACGGGTTTTGCAGAAGAAACGTAAAGATGTGAGTATCGTGCTCATCACCAACGACAAGGAATCGATGCAGCTCAGCAACCGCGTCGTTGGTTCTGTCTTTGTTACAACCCATATTAACTGAATATGTATGACAACTCCGTCTGTGCAGTGTTCGTGAATTTATGTAGTATAAGTTTCCCTCGACCTATAATTAGAAAAAAAGAGTTAGAAGTGACGTACAAGTTTTGTGTTATACTAGATTGGTTGGGAGTGGCGTGCCACATTGTTAATATGAGGGACGTTATCACATTATTCGTGTACAAGACCCGTATTGAAAATATTTTCACATTTTCGCGTGTTCGAAGTTCATGTAAGGCCACACTGATTTAATTTTATGGATGACATCCTCTGAAGACCCCAAAACTAATGCGAGAGGGCGAAAAAAAAATGTCGACCAAAAAAAAAAATGCTACTAAAACCACAGGACTACGGAGCAATTATTACTAATTTAACCACAGTGTATCAAAAAAACAACAAGTCTTTATTTGTAGGAGGCACATGCTGATGTACACATTTCGTACTGTATTACTGTCACAGGTATCAGCTTTGATTTTGAAAAGGCAAGAGGATAAGGCAGATGTTAGCTTTGCCAAAGGCATACACATCAACTCAATAATAAAGAAAAACTTACTGTGCTGTATTGAAAAAAAAAATAATTAAAAATGAACAATAAGTTTGTCAACAGCAGTCTGGAAATTAACTTCTTTGACATTCAAACTACAGCTTTTAAAGTGACACTTCAGATAGACTAAAGCATAAGTGTAGACACAAATTCTCTAGAACTACTTCAACTATGTAACAAATTATAAGAGGCTCGATATTGAAAAAAAAACACCAACACACATTTGGATGCAGAAAATTATGTACATGTATCTTGATGAAAATGCGTCATATGATCAAAATATTACTGAATGTGTGTGCAAGCAAATTATCCGAATCAGAAAATGAAAAAAAAATAATAAGAAACTTTTCTTCACCCCGTAAGGGGACTTCGGCCAAGGAGCTTCTGCTGCTTTCGTTGCAGTTTTGTCGACTTCAATGCGGACAAAGCAATCGAACTGATTTGTCGCCTGACCGACTTTTAGGCCACCATACACCTCCACTCCTCTCCCATTTCTCTCATCATTGCAGAAGAAACGCGGGACAGCCACTCTGGACAATATGTTCTCAATGTTGTCTGGGCGAAACTCGCTTGCCGCTACCGACCTCTCGTATAGCTGTGTAAACGTCTCCCTGGCCAATGTCAATTGCGTACCAGTCTACAACAATCCCTCCTTTCACCTCTGAACTTTTATGCTCACGTATTTTGGTGGTGTGGTCGCCATGTTGGATCATTTATGGCAAAATTTGCATGTTTTGAGGCAATCTCTTTCCCATAGGTCTTTGCGCTTTACGTAACGCGCATCTAACTGTGCGGAGTTTGGTTTTGAGGTAGTCCAAAACAAGTTTTACGACAAGTCGGCGCTTTGCGACAATATGAGTCGGCAAGTTCCGGACAGAAAACCGATCTGTAGAGACTCGTCGTCGGAGATTTTTTTTTTTTTTGAGAACAGGCGAAAACTAATACGCGCGTGGATGTCATCCATAAAATTAAATCGGTGTAGCCTAAATAAACAATGTATTTTACACGCGTTGTATACGTCGCTATGAGTCCCATATCGAACAGGACGCGGCGCGACGACTGCCGCCCTTTAATACAACAAGTACCATCTCGCTTTACTAAATGTACATTACAGTCTATAGTTGATTTCTATTATTTTACAATACATGTACTAGTATATATGTCAACATGCCTTATTTTGCATTGGCGTGAGCTTGGACATGAGGCAAAAACAAAGCATGTATACCACGTGGTCGCAGCAACTGCAACATTCATAAAAATAACAACCTACATATGTATTTTATTGTTCCTTACATCCTTATTGTATTCTAATCTAGATCCCAGAGAAGATACGATATCAATAAAGATTGTTATTATTATTATTATGAAATAAATGAACCATCCAATGGAGCATGCCGGAGCTATGTGTGTAGATCATGACTATCACGCTACTGTCAACATGCTGTTACACTAACTTGAAGATTGTAACCATCCAACGTTTTTGCATTTAAAACGTTAATGAGTAGAAGGGCGAATGACCGTAACGATTTAATCTAGGCTGCTGTCGAAACTAAGTCTGAGTATTACTCGCCATGGTTCCAATGAATGGAACGCAAACAAAGGTATTCCAACGGTTTCCCGGATACAATACACCCATTTAGACGAACTGTATATGCGTCCATACAGCAGAAGGCGCGACAACGAGTAAATAATAATAAATTACCAAACGAGACACGTAATTTGAATATTGTTCATTGTTACCGACAATAGCTATGTAATTACCCAACAACACTTGTCACAGTGTTGTGTATCAATGTATTCATGGTGATGTTTCATCACGATGTTCCCTAACAATAGCAACAACACGCTACGATATCCTATTTACTATATGCTATCTAGTTTCTCATATTCACACACAGGCACAGAGACAACGTAAACTGCGCTAACACGTTCGTGAATCTAGCTCTACCATATGGTGAAGGAGGTCAAGTCCAAGATGACTGCCATAGTGGATATTCCCTGCTAACTGAGCCGTGTTAAAAATAACATATATAATCATATACTAGTAGTAATGTGCAAATTGATCAATAACGCGATCTAGAATAAATTTACAAAACGAGTGCTAATTGCAATATTAGAGAATGCAACGAAGTAGAAATAGTGACTCGATATTGGACAGTTGGAAAGGTTGGCTGGATATTGGGGAAGAAGTAAATTTTACATGAAATAACCGAGAGACAATTAATGATCCACAGATTCCCCTGAGAATTAACACCTAGGTCATCGCATGAAAGTTGAATACATGTATAATTTTTATAATTAAAAAAAATGCTTACTTTGAAGGTATGTGAACAACCGTCGTTGAAATATCAGACTTAGCTACACCTGAAATACACTGTCAACGATTGGCAGCTGTAACGAACCATGACATTTTGCATGTCCATTCGTCTTAATAGTGATTAATCAAATTATCGAATATAACGACGTACTCGCGTTACCGGGCATTGAAGGATTAAGTGGAGTATTCTGCAAAACTGTTAGATTGTACGTAGTTGGGATGCACATATACATTAATTCACATGGTGTCGATTTCAATGTACTGACCTTAGGCAACCTGTTGGGACTTGTATATAACGACCTCACTCTGTGTCTAGTTGCATTCTTTGCATCTGATCGCCAAAAACAACGAAACTATCCGTCCATTTGGGATTTGTGTTTGTCTTAACCAATGCACTGAGCATTAATAATGCATACACATAGGCGAGATCCTACGAATAGGTGACGTTAAAACCGTATGGCGACGCGTACGGCGTGTACCTTGGTTGCTTCGATGTCAGTGAAAGTTGGTGGCGTTTACGCCGCTACCTCAATAACATACGATGAAAAGACACATTATTAGCAACACAATAGGCATACACAGATTGACTATTCAAACACGATTGACCCTCAGGAAATCGATTTTAAATATTCATTTTCATCGGTACACCGTTGGGGGCGCTTATAATAACAGGTTGGATGTCTACGGATACCAGTCTAGGCTCATCACATTCAATAACGTACACGGCACACTTACATAAGCAGTATAAGTTGCTGCCATTAAATTCATGCAGTACACAAATGGAAAATCAGACTCTATCTAGTACTTAATAAATAAAACTAAACGGAAGAAATGAACAAGGATGGGCTGTATAAACTCGAACTTACCACTGGCGGTTTGTCAGTGCAACTAACATTATTAGAGCCAAGAGGGTTAAATATTAAAAATAACTGCCAACCAACAAAAAAACTAAATAACGCAATCAAAAATAAAAAATGTACCCGTCGCACTAAGCACTAAGTAAGTCAAGGGAAGAAGAAAGAAACAAATTAAATTGGAAATTGTAACTGACGAGACTGGGTTCATTAAACTTGTATTCAAAAACCCCTGCCCAAACTTAAACACTAGTCCCCACAGTAATGTAACTACACTTACCATATCACTATCCAATATGAACAGAAATAGATTACCGCTATACTACGAAACGCGATAAGCAACTTTTGTAATAGCATCATGGAAATATACATGGCAAAGTAAATGCTTTATAAAGTATTCCAAACGTGATTTGAACTGGCAACCACGTGATCGAATCTTATCTTACACACTCCAGCGCGACTTCCATCAAGTTACCATGCAAATCCTAAAAGAAGAATACTTACTGACATAAATTTTTGTTTTTTTGATACATACTACCAGTAATTTGAGTTCCCCTTGCTCAATATCATTTTCTAGTATTGGATAGAAATAAAACAGGTTCCTCCATTCATAGTCCATTGTTCGGGATGATGTGTATCGCGACGAACTCAACACATCGAGAATATATACACTTTCGATAGTTTATAAATATACTAAACTATACATACCGTGGTCACCGTCATACAGTCTCTTGTTTGTTTGTTTTTTGGTGATTTTTCGGTAAAATAAAATATCACGGGAGTGTATATACGATAACCTGGTACATTGCTTTCAAGTCTTCTGTAGTGTCATAAGCCTAATTTAACATAAAGTTTCTTGCATTATTACAATATAACAACAATGATGGCATTAATTTATGCAAATGAGACGATTATTTCAACCAATCGTGTCATGTACCCAATCCCCTCGATGACACACTAATACTTGATTCCATTACCAGTACTCATTCTAAATGAGTGATAGCGCCCTCTTTAGATAAATGATTAATTCATTTAGTTTTAAGTTAGATTTAAGTTTTCTAGATGATCATTTGCAATGTTTTCCTTTATCAAATGCGCGTTTTGTGTTATTATAAATATATACTAGTATAAATAAATTTCTGTTACTTTTCCTATTGGTAGGATTTATCTGTGTATCAGATTACATTTTCCCCACAAGTCGATTAAATAACTAATTCTCCACCACAGACAATAGACTAATTTGGCGGCGAGATCACAGGATCCTTCTAAAACTATTCCTCAGCAGTACAATGAAACGGTATCTGTTCACGAAATTCAATTACTTGTATATAAACACACTATGTTTGATATCTGCCTAATATTGTCTGCATTGCTCAGTTCTTTTGCTTTATCCAGTTCCTCGTGACCAATAATATGTTTTATCCACTTTGATTTAATTGCTTTGTTTTCATTTAAAGCGCATTTTAGAATATTACTGTCAGCAAACATGCTAAGTCTATATTTAATTTTTCTTCTAAATGCTCTAGTTGGATCAGTTTACTGACACCAAGTATAAAGCGGTAAAACTCGACTACCCACTTGCTCTAACATATTGTTGTCATTTGATCGTCAGCCCAAATATCAGCACCATACATTATGCTTGAAACTGGTCAAACAATTTCAAGCATAAAGAAGTTGATATCATTTTATGATTCACTATTGAATGTCAGACACTTTTGTTTTGTTTATGATTCCATTGGTTACAGTAATTTGACAGTTTGTTCAAAGCCATCTTGAGTTTCTGACAACAATACAAGGTCATCTGCTTACAAGATTGAGTTTAGTGGTATGTCGCCAATAAAAGCAGGTTTATCAGTGTTGTCATCAAAATTTCTGGCAAGTCATTCAGAAATATATATATTAAACAGAGTTGGTGGTTGGATGAATACAATTAAAACGGGTGTCTCAAACAGCTCGTCGCTTCCTCTGTGTTTTTGAAACAATGTTCTCTGGGTATAACTAATTACGATGCTAAACACTTTGCACTTTAGTGCTTCTTCCATTGGCTTTGTGAGCATAGACATTAGGTAGTCTGCAAATTTCGCAGGTGTCAAACTCATTGTGGATAATGTTGAACTGGTTCTTGGGTTGAACCAGAGTGCTGGCCTGTATTACTTGCTGGTGAAGGTAAGAGATCTTGAGTTGAGTTAGTTGATACTTCTCTTGAAATGTGTGAAGATTCAGTCACATTTATTGGTGTTTCCATTAGTCAGCTTGATGGTTGCTCTGCTAAAGCAGACTACCTGTGACGATTGGTGGCTCAGCCCGTACAGTTGGGGTCAGATGATGTTGAATGGCATTGTTGAGGTTGGCAGGCTGTCTTCTTTTCTTGTTTATGTGGAATATCTAACTACTAGGTAGGAAAGTTAAATATTTTAAACATATTACGATGAAGGGTTCGCTCCATAACTAGCTTCTGACTGTACAACGTATAAAAGTGAATCTGGTTTCAGTTGTTTGACAATTAAATTCTCCCTTGCTGTAATTGTTCTACCAGTAGTCCTGCCCCAAACCTTCTCCTGGTGCATCAACTTCGGGGTAACCAAGCACTGGGGCAGTAGTCAATTTCTCCTTGAAAGCTACTATCACAATCTTCAGATCATAAAAAAAGTGGTTATGATACTCTTTGCCTGTTTACAACCCTTCTTCTCCCTCCACAGGTCTAATCCTTTCAGCATCCATCAGGTATTGTACATCTCTTATCCATTATGAACTTAATGTGAAGATGTAATGTTGTAACATAGTTCAACCCATGGGTTAAATTTAGCACTACATGTTGGCACTACAATTGTGGTTGCAAATACAGTCTTGAGCATGATGGAATATGGCTTTGAATGCCCGGGGGACATGTCGATGACGTTGCCACTGGTAAACGTTCTGACAGATTGTATAGAATGGGTGGCTGGCTCGGATATTGCTGTTGTGCATACCCTTGTGTATTATGGTGCACCGGAGTGGCTGTGGGAATGCTGCTTGTAGGTGGTTGAGTATATTGTTCACCCATTGGTACTGGAACATCCAATGTCAGCAAATCGTGTGGGTTTCCATGTTTCATGATACTATTCAGTCAGTCAATGTGATGAAATGTATTACAACAGTTGACCACACACTGGCTCCAATAACATTACAGATGAACTTCATACATGTTGAACAACCGACACTGCCTGTCTTGCACAAATAATCCTAGATCCTGTTCTCAGCACCAGAAGATGCGACACAGATTTCCAGCATAAATGGGGACTGTCAGCAAAAATAATAGGATTGTGCTTACATACAACTTTTATTGACCGAGTTGTACACTGTTGAGCAGAAAGAGAGATACACAAGAGGTTCACAGGAATTAATCACAGTTTGTTTCAATATAAATATGTATTGTCATAATTAATTTTGAATACAAACAAGTTTTGGGGTTGAACCAACAGTGGGGAATCAGTCTACTGAATGTCCTTAAAAGATGTAAATATCTTACAAAAACATTGGTGCCTTATTTGTTTAATTATTTTAAGGGACATAATTTCCAGTTTTATTCAAAGTAATTCAGATATTTTAGTATAAAAATAAATGCCTCATTGCAAAAAAAAAGTTCTGCATTTAGACGTGAATAGATTCATAAAACATGCAAGATAACAGAAAATCTTAGCTGGCTTTTGTCCAAGTATTTTGTATTATATGAAAAGTAAAAAAAAAAACACCCTTTATGAATAGCTATCATGTTGCAAGCTCTGCTTTGTATGCAAATCAACTTAAGTAGTTAGTTGATGTCCAGTGGAGAGAGAAGTCAACAGTACTGTTGCCTCCT